TAGCGTCTCTTTGTGTGGGAGCATGCACGCCTGCCTGTGTGTATGTGCATTTATTCTGAAGAGCTCAGAGTGAGGAGCACATGTAGGTGTTTTCTGTAGAGTTAGAAAGGGTGTCTGAGCTTTGGCATATTGTCGTAGGAGAGTGTGAAATACAAGGGAAAGTAGGAAATACCGTGTGCACGCGTGTGTGCAGTGACACCTTTTGTGTTTGTGATTTTCAAGTTTGTGTAGGTGTTGGTGTCTTATCAGCTTGTGAAAAATAAACGGTTAAATGCTAATTTATAAAGATTAATGTAGTGTTTTTCAAATTACCTTAAGTATTATAGGAGTCCGAATATATGATTATAAAATATGTATAAAAAAATCATGACTTATTTTTATTCTCTGGGGTCAATGGGAATAGTTAAATTAAAACAAAAAACTAACTGGTGCTACAAACCCTCTGCAGAAATATTGTTGACACTTGTGTAACTGCATAATAAATACATGTATTGTTGTGTAAAGGTAATAAATATATATAATACATACTGAATATCAGTAGCAGTGTAAATTTGATCATGTTTGATCTGATTTTTGTTCATGTAAGAGTGAAAACACTGAAAAACCTCCAGTGAAACCCAGACTACTTAAGTTCTCCCATGTGGTTTAGCAACTCATCAGTGATGACACATTGCACTATTTCAGGAGTAGGAACTCTGTAGGCTTTATCACAAATCATAAATTTAAAAAACTACAACAAAAACAACTAGATCATTAAATAAAATCTGCAAACCTAAAGGTCAGGAGGTCAGGAGTGAATGATATTACTATCAAATATCTGGTAGTTAAAAGAAAATGTAGCTTAATATTTTTAGCAACCCATTATAGTTCTAACACCATATAGCTCTTATAGCAAAGTGCAGATTTGATTTGTAAGAAGACAAAGAAACCATCATATGTTGGAGAGAGTCGGTTAAATGAAGTTTAATATAATTCAGAAATAAGTATCTGATGAATTCTTCCTCTTTTATCTATGTTACATACTGAATAATCATATATGTTCATAGACACATTCGACTAAGGCAA